AAGAAGAAGAAGAAGAAGAAGAAGAGAAGAACGAATCGTGGAGAGAAGAAAAAGAAGTGAAGGAAGAAGGTAGAAGGTCATGTAGAGAAGAAAAGAAGAGAGAAGAAAAAGAAAGGAAGGGAGAAGAAAAGAGGAAAAGAGAAATGGGGGAGGGGGCTGCGGAAGGACAGGAGGAGAAAAGAAAAAGGAAAAGGAGTTTAATAAGTGGGGGGTATTTGAGACATTTTGACAAATAAAAGTTTCTAAAATTAGAAATAGGAACATTAATTGTGGACGGACTGAAAAAGAAAGTGAGAACTTTAATTTTGGACGAAGGGAGTATACAACTGATGGATACCGAGCCCGTTGCTACGCGTGTGGCAGATGGAAGAAGACGGCCCAATCATGGGTTAAATCAATATGACCCAGTCCAAGGAAGGAGTGGGACACGTGGCCCACATCATTGAGTTGTGGACGAGATGGCAAGAGAACGAGACCGGAAAAGAGGGAATCACCACCCCATGATCTCCATAATTCCTCCCATTTTATATAATTTTAATTCCAATATTAGAAGTACTATAAAAGGGGAGAACCCACCATTGTAAAGGGAGGGAGAACATCAAGTAATACTACACTTAATAAAAGAATATTATTGAGTGATTATATCTTTCTGATCCAAATAACGTTCTTGGTCCGCCATCTGATCGGGTTAATCCCATCATTGGTGCTTTCATTGAGAGTAACTGTGAGATAAGGCTGTGAAATTATGGCCGGACGAAGGACGAGACGTAATGCCGCCGCTTCTGCCCAGTCGACAGTGAGGAGTGACAATCCTGAACAGGGTATGATCGTCCCTTTCAATGGGTTGGAAACGGTGTTGAATAATGTGGGTAACATGATGGCCAACATTATGGAACGATTGGATAAGGCTCTCCCTGGCCCATCCGGTACCCAGGACGTCCCTGTCGAGCAACCCCGCCAGGTCCTGCGTACTGCGAGTTCTCCTATCCTCTAGGAGCTTCATGATCCGGAGGAGGTTGAGAGGGAGAGACAGGCCGTCGCTAGACGCCACGCGGAGGAGTTGGCCCGGAATAGTAAGGTGAATGGAGACTGGGCTGCAAGCCAAGCTATCGGCAATAGAAACGAAAACCCGCGGGGAACTGTCTTTGAAAGGATATCTCGCCAGAAGGCTCACGTTAGTGAGAGGCTGGGGAAGAATCCGGACAAAGCACCCCAGGGTTGGATGCGACCCCAGCCTAGCCAGGTGGCATCTTCTAACCGCGAACCCCAGCAACGAACCGACCGCGGTGGCAGCCAAGCGCCAGTGCGGACATTGGTGGTTCTGGATGAGGATGAGGTTCAGAGCCAAGTAAGGGTCCCAACACCGCAGCGTCTAGGGCCGCCGGTACCGGAAGCGGGCGAATTCCATGATCTGAGGCAGCAGATCCAGGAGATGCAGAGCAAGATAAACAGGGGACGAGTATTCACTACCCGGACGAATAATCCCTTAGCCCCGGAAATCTTTGCGGAACCATACCCGCAGGGATTCAAGATGCCGTTCGTTAAGCGTTACGATGGGGAATCGGATCCCCAGGAACACATAAACAGCTATGTCCAGGTGATGATTGCTGTTGATGCCAGCGACGCATTGATGTGTTGGTGTTTTTTGCAGACAGTAGATAGCAAGGTTGCGGATTGGGTGAAACACATTCCTGCCGGATCAATCCGGACATGGGATGAATTGGGATTGCAGTTCTTAGAGCATTTTGCAGGGAACTGCCGTCCCAAGAAGCATTTCACTCACCTGGCCTCGGTGCGTCAGAAGCACGGAGAATCCTTGAAGAATTTCCTTATCCGGTGGAGAAAAGAGTCCAGGGAGGTTGAAGGAACAACCGATGACAAATCAAGGTTGGCCATGTTCAGGGCGGCATTACAAGATGGTCTCCTTTATACCAATCTTACACCTCATCCCCCGGATACCTTTGAGGAAGCAATGGTCTGGGCCGGGAGGTATGTGACCCTGGAGAAGAGAAAGGAGGAGAAGAAAGAAAAGACTCCCAAAGAAGAAGAGAAGGCGGGAAATAAGAACCCGTTCAAGAACAAGAAGCAGGGTTTCCCGAATGGCCCAAAGGACACAAGCCTTGGGACCTCGGAAAAGCACAAATCTGCCAATCCAGTCTTCACGTTGCCGGTGGCTGAGGTCATGGCTCATGCTGCACAGCAGGGACTCATGACTTATCCAACTTATTCTCAGAAGGTCTGTAATGTGGAGGACACTGGAAAATGGTGCGCTTACCATCACAAGAATGATCACAACACAGAGGATTGTTATACCCTGAAGAATGAGATGGCGAGGCTAATCCGTCGGGGCCATCTGAAGAAGTTCATACAAGATGGTGATGCGGGAAGTCCCGGGAATGCTCAGAATGGGAAGCGTAGAGATAAGGAGGTGGCCCATGTTGGAACA